AATTAAATCAAGACTTATTCAATCTACAATGGAAATCGTTGAAAAAGTACTTCGAGATTCTAAATTAGACAAAAGTCAAATTCATGAAATTGTTTTAGTTGGTGGTTTCAATACATATTCCTAAAATTCAAAAGATGGTATCTGAGTTCTTCAATGATAAAGAACTAAATAAATCTGTTAATTTTAATGAAACCGTGGCCTATGGTGCTGCCATTCAAGATGCTATTTATCTGGTGATATTTCTGAAAAGCATAAGATTTTCTTTTACTCAATGTCGCTGCTTTATCTCTGGATATTGAATCTACCGGTGGTACTATGACACGCTTATTAATCGTAATACTGAAGTATGTATGTAATGTGAGGCACAGCACTAGAAATAATTATATTAAAGGAGGAGAATCTATGTTACGGTAGTTTTTAGATGATTTGTGTAACTCCAACGATTGGCTATTTTTATATACCTTATTTTTACCTAATACTAACACTAAAACCACTAACACTGACACTAACACTGACACTAACATTAAGAGATAAAGGATAAGGTAAAGGTAGGTAGGAGAGGAATCTACCTCAAGGAATAAAAGTTGTTTAAATATTATTTTTTTTTTCAAACAAAAAAAAAAGATTTGGATCAGCCGCGACGGCACAGTTAAGTGCATAATGAAATACTATTATGTATGTATTGTCTATTCCTATTTTTGATTATTGATTTAATTAATAAGTTAAATAATTAATAATTATTGATTAATAATTTTGTTTATTTTTTTTTCGATTTTTAATTTTATAGGTTAGATCAGTAGATTTACCACTTTGGCTTATTGCAAAGGCGCAGTCAGGTATGTTATATTGTTAATTAATATTCTTTTCGATTTTATAGGTTAGGGCCGATTCCGCCCTTTCGGACGAATGCGGGCGCGGCACTTCTGATGAACCCTTCGGCTCGTCACGGCGATAACTTAATAAAGGATATATTACAACTAAAGCAGTATAATAACCATAAATAGCAGCGACAAAGTTGCCGCACACCAACCTAATCTAGTTTGCTAACAATAAATCTGATATTATAGAATCAACGAAATTAGACCTAAAATAACTAACAATTCAGGGGCTCATTATAAGAGTAGAACTTTAAGTATCATTATAAGTTTTGCAAGATGTTTATGAAGTCAATTTTTTCTTTAGAATTTAAGGGTAATTATTTATATTTGAATATGTTACGGGGGGTGAAAAAAATATTGAATAATTAATTAATTTTTATATATAATTGATGTAATAAAGCTAATTATGGTAACTTATAATATTTTTCTAATCAAAAATGAATTTATTTTTATTGAAACCGTAATTATTTTCTTGTTTATTTTAATTCAGATTTTTTAAAAATTTTTGGAATTTTCGCAAAAAAATGGGTCTTGTAAAAGAGATTACTTTGGAGTAAAGAGGTGCAACTTTTGAATGTTAAAAACTTTAGATTACGCAAGAAAAAACTTCAGAAATTGCAGAGTTTTCTCAAGCAACAGTTTCTCAAGTTTTAAAAATAATCAAACTATTAATAAATGATCAGGTTGTCCCCAAATATTAACTACGCAAAAAAGGAAAAGCTGGCAAAAGCTGTTCTTAATAATAAAGATTCTAAGCCCATAGTTAAAAGAAGTATGCCGGCTTTTTTCAAAACAAAATAAATGTCACCTCAGAATCCTGATCTTACTCCTATTGAGAAACTTTGGTCAATAGTTGGGTCTGGACTTCGAAAACGTAAACCCGGACCATCTAACATCCAAGACTTGTAAAAAATGGTTATCGAAGAATGAGACTCAATTCCCTATGGAAAAAACTTATTAATTCAATGCATTCTCGAATTTATGCAGTTAGAATTTATTGTAATAAACTAAAATAAAAAATTATTAATTATTTATTTCACCCTCCTGTAATTCAATTAATTTATATGATTGAAAAATCAACTTTAATCAAATCATAATCTTATAGATAAAGGCAATAAAAAAATTAAATTAATGGAAGATGAAACTTATAAAAGAAAATATTGAAATTGGATATTTAATTGGTTTATGCAAAACGAGAATTGTACAAATCCTAACTAATTATTTAACTTTTTTTAATTTCTTTAATTATTTAATTATCATTTAAATTGGCAAAGTATATTTATATATTATTTCTTATCCGGCTAACCTTTTGATTGATTGTAAACGACCGCAAACATGTTTATCAGGATAAAAATCTTGCTATTGTAAATCCGGTAAAAAGAAATCTCTGACAATAATTTTTACGACAAGCTCACCTCTTTGTAATTTGTAAAAAAGAAAACAACTTTAATTTTTTACAATAGAAATAGCTTATAGATATCGTATTAACGTTAAAAATACTGTGCCACAAATTTTAACGAGAATTTTAATTCAACTATTTATTTGATTTATTAATAAGTTAACTAGAAATAAGAAAGTGAGTTGTTGGCTAATATAAAGCTTAAAAAAGAGAAAGTGTGAATTATTGCGAGAAATGAAAAATGAATACCAAGTGAAGTAACTTATCGCCATTAAATACTTTATTATTAAATTCTTTTTAATCTCAATCATGGATCAATTAGTCAGTCCATGGCCAATCTAAACCTACGTAATATTTAAATTGATAGCGAGAACTCCTGGAGAAATCCAATTAGAACCCGTCAAGGGTGTCTTGAATCCTAGACAAACATTGAATACTAATTGTTTGAGCGTGGAGCAACAAATAAACAAATTAGAAAGTGTGAACTTAATGTTTTATTTTATTTAATTTTATTTTTGAACCGAAGAAAATGTCCCTTTCATTATATATGGGTAAAGTTACTGTACTTACAAAATTTTTTTTTAGATAAGTTATCGATAAACCCCATTATCTTTAATATTACGTCAAATTTTTTTAAAAAATAAAGTTGTCAATCAATTTTTACGTTAGTTTGAAAAGAAATTGATCGTCACGTTCTCGGTGGCTGAAAACTTATTGCATCACCCAAAGCTGATTGATACCTAGTAGTAACTTTCTTATTATCTTTTTTAAATTATTAATATAATTTTCCTTTAATATAAAATCGCCTCAAATTTTTGAATGTAAAAATTTAATAATCAAGCATGATTTAATTTAACTTTTATTATCTGCTATATAGATATAAAGATAGGACTAAATGTTATAATCAATAAAGATGTAGTTTCCATTATACAGTATATTATTGATAGAAAATATCATCACATAAATGATATAAAAAAATCACCATACTAAACTTTATATTTCTTTATACCCTGTTAAAAATTTTTCTTAGAAGTATATCAAACATGATGAAACAAGACAACAAAGCATAAACATATTCACCTTCGCATTAGTAATTTTAATCCTCTTTTGAGGAGTGTTAGAGCAATGTGGTAAATACATTGTATCCCGCTTTGGAGAAGGTGGTGTTTTACTTCTAGCGGTAACCGTAGTCGATGTTGGGGAAATTCACAACAGTTTTGCAACTCTTCGAGTTCTTCTTCTTCGTTCAATTCTATTGCATCATTTTGCTCCACAAGATCAATCATATTTCTTACAACCATCTATAAAAATAAGAGATCCATTAGTTAATATTATTTTGTTAAATTACAAAAATTTTATCATACTTTTGCCTTCCAGGCTAACATAATGACATGGATTGCTTTGGAGCCAAATTCTTCAACTTTGGCAGGAATGCCAATCATTCTTGTTCGATTCACCCGGCAAACAAATCCTTCTGGAGAATCCATTCTGAGCAATACTACCATTAGATCTAGATTTTGTCATAGAAACATCCAGTTAATTATTAAGCAACAACTAATAGTATGAAAAATAATTGTTCAACATACTAGCATGTACAAATCCTACTGATTGGAGTTTTCTTATCTTTTCTTCTTTCATACCCACAGCCATGCAAAGATTATCAAAGATGTCTTTCATCATTTTTGGTGTTTTTTTACCTCTCTCTTTCAGAAGTTTAGTCCCATTTTCACCATCAAATATCTTTCCTACTTCAGAGCATGCATATTCAGTTGAGATATATCGGATAAGAATATCAGCACGTCTTCCCATAACCTTTCGTTTTATTGATACAATGGCAGATACCATTCGATTCATATTTCTTCTTGCTGATGAGGCAACGCTACATGACTCTCCTCTGTTATGAAAAAGTCAAAAGATCAAATAATTTGAGGATATGTTTGTAATCCACCATTATAATAAGGTAATGGCGAAATTTTTCTTGCCTTACAGCCTCTACTCCATCGATGCATTCAAAACATCTATCAATGAAACACCATATGTGTATTAAATACCATAATTCTAAATGATCTCTTTCAAGATTTTTAGCCTCATATTCTCTCAACCTATAAAATAAAGTAAAAACAGAAAGATTAAAGACCAATTGAATACCTATTTACTTTTAATATCAAACAACACTTACAGGTTATAGATAGAATTTTGGACCCAGTCAAAATCAAAGTGAGTATCACGATTAAAGGGCATATTCCAACTTTGAGTTTCAAACACAGCTTTTCTAAGGTCTCGAGTATTATACTATTTCAAAACATGAAAGTTGTTAAAATAATTGTACAATGTAGTGAAATGTTATAAAAAAGCTTACTTTACGAAAACTGTTTAAATATCTCAACAAATCTGTCGGCATATTTGGGAGTTTCTCATATTTATGTTCCTTGATTTCATTCAGTTCTTCCAAGGTAAAAACACTCTCAACAATGTAGTTATAATCATTAGGATCAACAATGAATGAATGGCAGAGACTTTGGGTAAATCAGAAAATTTCTGATGTTAAATATTAGAAACGGTAAGCTAGCATCATTTAAAATTTGGTGAATACTTACTGTTCGTACTTACACCTCATTTCAAATTTATAAAGGCTGTCTTCAACTATCTTACCAGTAGTTAATTTCCATTTGGTACCTTTCCGTAAAATTCTCATAATCTGTATTCTGCATTTCTTCCACAACTTCTTTATTATTGGCATTATCATCTTGTTTACCATAATCGTTCTTGACATCTTCCTGATTAGAGTCCTCAGCTGTGGATATATATTCCTAAATGGACATAACAACCTCATCGATATATAAATAGAAGATTAATGAACTAGAATGTATATTTACAAACCATATGCTCAGATAACAGCTTATCGCTTGCAATGAAATGTTGGTCAACTATGTTAGATTCGACTTGTATAAATTGTTGTTTCTGGTTTTTCCAAAAAGAAAAATGTAAATAACAATATCATCATTTGAAGAAGTGAATGGTGCAGTGTAATCACCTTTTTTTCAGTTAATATCAATTGATTACTACGAGTTTTAACTTGTTCATTTTGTAATCGGACATCTTCCCAAAAGCTTTTAACATCGTTGGAATTGATGTGTGCATCAAATTTGTCAAGTATGTAAAAAGCTTTTGAGGCTTGTTCACCACCCTCAGTTACAATAATTTTTAAAGCTTCGGATAAAATCTTTTCTGCCTGTTGTTTTTCTGAAAACGGAAAATTAATTTTCCCAAAAAACTTAGTAAGACCATATCCTTTTGCTAAAATTACTTCCAATAATTCCGCATAACTTTGCGCCTAAAGGTAGAATTAAGGTATATATAAATTGATATTCTCAACTAATTAGTAGTATCCAAATGCGCGTTTAATACAAACCATAATGAAAATATCTGCCAAGTTTATTTCAAATACAGTAGGTCAAAAAAAGAATAACATAAGAATTAGTATAAATTTCTCTAGTAACATTTCTGCCTTTAACCTGAAACTTTCTTCCGACAATATAAAGCCACTGCATCAGATCTTATTTATAATAGAGAGCGAGAGCGAGAGAGAGAGAGAGATAGAAAGAGAGAGAGATAGAGAGAGAGAGAGAGAGAGAGAGAGAGAGAGAGAGAGAGAGAGAGAGAGAGAGAGAGAGAGAGAGAGAGAGAGAGA